TTCATCCATGTTCTTGCTTGGGGAGAAAGTTCTTGCTCTCGACGTAAGCTTCATCTTCAATCTTCTAAAGGTTAGCAACTTCATCTTCTAATCTTTTATTGCTAATAATGTAGATCGTTTCATGCTTTAGTAATAAGCATAGAAATATTCAAATATGTGGTTTTTAGATTAGGAATAATAATGGTGGATTTTATTTTTATGAGTAAAGTCCACTACTGGTCCTTAAACTTGCGTCACTGTGTCATCCGGTCCCTAGACTCTCAAAACGTTCATCTAGGTACCTAAACTTTGTTCAGGTCACGTTAATCATCCAAACGGGTCTAAATCCACTGGGTGCTTCCACCTGCCTCTCCCTCGGTCCCGTTGCCCACACACCTCTGCTCCACGGCTGTGGTCGAGAGCCGGAGGCTGAGCTTCATGAGGAGCCACGAGGCCACGGCCCGGCGAGTGCGAGCGGCCACTCACCATCTTCATCCTGCTCACCATCTTCTACGACCAGCCCTAAGAACATGAAGGCCCTCGTCACGGCCATGTCCCTGATGACGTATGGCGTCGGCAGCGTGCTGAGCAGCGGCATCCTCTCGGTTGTGTAGCTAACGGATTGAGAATGGCTGCCGATCGACATGTTAAGTTGGCCAAGCCTATCACCGGAGAGCGAGTCACTGCCGAACGACGGGCTCCGGCTGGAAAATGTTGTCGACCCTTTTCATGGTGTGCTTCATGTAAAGGCGCTGCTTCATGTCGTCGAGCAGGACGAAGCGCTGAGCGGATGAGCGCGTGCGCCATGTCGACGGTGGGGCACCGTGACGTGCTTCTCGCCGTAGTCGACGTTGGTGATGCCGCCGTCATGTGTTGATGCCACTCGTGAGTCGTGAACATCGTCATGAACCAATCCGAGCGCTACGGGATGCAACGTATATGGAGCATCATAGTATATGGCATGGTACGTATACTGGGTATGTGCAATTCAAAGCATACACGACATCGAGGACACCATGGCAGAAAAGCAACAGCACATGGCGTGGCCACAACACTTCCACGACGATGGCAACACCAGATATTCATCATCATCAGCCAACGTGGTGCCAAACCATCATCAAGGCGTGCACGCTGCGGCCTGCCTGCGGAGGTGCCCAAGGATGATAAGCTTGACCGTGCTATCCTGGTTTGCTCGCTGGTGTGCAGGGGCTACAGGAGCTCACCCATATGGAAGCGGAGATGGCACATGGTAGGAGACGAGCTCAGCCTCTCTGGCCTGGCCGCAAGAAAGGGAAGGCGTGGCAAGCCCGAGTGAGACCATGGCGCCCATAGCCGCCGTGGCCTCCTCGCCCAAGGGAGCCTGGGCACCCATCAGCAGCGCAGCTGGTGGCCAGAGCGCGCTGATCCTACTCGTTCATGGCGGCTGGGACCAAAATGACACGGCTAAACAAGTTAAAGGCCCACACGGTGATCCGTTAGGACTATAGTGAAACCTGAACAAAGTTGAGGTACCTACATCAGTGTTTTGAGAGTTTAGAGACCGGTAGTAAACTTTACACTATTTTTATTTATACATCATTTCTATATAACCTTAAACATTTATTGTTTTCTAGATCTTTGTTAGCAATATTATTTTTTGATGAGAGTTAATAATCATTAAAAAATATGTGCAAAATGTTTAAGTTTACTTGGCATGCATATATATATATATATATATATATATATATATACATATATATATATATATATATATCTTGATGATTTATTTTTTTATATGTTTCTTTAATATATATTGTTGCATGGTATATTTATATGGGAGTTCTATATTTATTGGGATGTTTTTTCAGTTTTTTTAGTTACGATGAATGGCGGTGGACTTCACCATTACATGAGAACCAAGTTTCCACCTGGCGATCTTCCATTCGCGCCATCGCCACATAGGGTCGATTCGCGTCACCTAGACCCATCAATAGTATGTAATATTTTAAGTTTTACGTGCTAATATAATTTTTGCATATATACATTGATTCATAACATGATTGTTGCATATGTCATAGACTATAAAACCGGTCAAGTGGCTGGAAGCAGCACTATGGCTGCTCGTAGTGTGGGACATCTTTGAGACGACGACAAGTGAAATCGTGAATGATGAAGGAGGCGAGTTATAGATGTCTTGATCTCACCTTCGACATCCCCATTAGGTACAATAATGAGGTGCGCGGGACATCGTGCAGGCGGGCGACGATCGCCAACCAAGATAGGCGCCAGATCGATGCCGTCTTTGCTTTGTTTGCGAGCAATTGGCGAATTAGCTCTTGTATGCCTGATTTCGCCCTTGAAGATAGAAGCTTTACGTGAGCATAGTGCGGGCGTACCCACGAGTTAGCGAGAGGCATCGACCTTCAACCATATGGATGTGGTATGTCGTGTGTATGATACGAGAGTAATGTTTATTTATTCTTATTATTATATGAGCGCTTCACGATATTTTTTGTTTGTCAACTTACGAGGTTTTGCTCTATGATTTCCGTGTATGCCACATGTGGCTTGCAGCCCATTCTCACGCATAGCTCTTAAGCGACTAGAATACGCCTGGGACTTCGTGGAAGCGATGGGTCGATGATGTATCGCCTCTCACTGCCGATAGGTTGGCGTGCGGTGACAAAAGCAGGGCGAGGACCAATCGGTAGGGATGAGGTCGACTGGATCCTTATTGGTACTGGCAGGCCGATTGGGTGAATCGGCTCTGGTGCGGCGACAACAAAGCGAGGCACCTTTTCAAAAAAAACAGATTCTACATCTTCGACTACATAAATAAATACTTATATGCATCAAAATACATGACACAAAAAAGAAAGAAAAAATACTGAACGTGGTGCTGCTTCTTCATGAGCTAGCTATCGGCCCCTAGAATGCCGACTGCTCTATCAGCAATGATAGCACGCATATGGACAGGTCTGCTGTACCTTGTTGCCGTCTCTGTTGGCCCCTGGAAAGCCATTCGCTCTATCGGCAATGATGAGTGTCGACACGGAATTTTCGTCCTCGTCTTTGAGGACACATGAGCAAAATTTGGAAGATTCTTTCGATGGAGCTGTAGATCCACACAGCTTCAACACATGGATGGTCGATCCTCGTAATCCTCATGAGGCGTGCCGATCAATTTGACCTGCAATTGACAAGGAGAGAAGGTTTATCGGTAATTTGGTAGGAACGTGCGGTGTTGCCAGAACGGTCCCAAAATGTGCGACTGAGAGCCGATATGAAAGGAGATCGACTAAATAGTTGATTCCATCATATTCATAAGAATAAATCGATTAAAGCTCATTGTATTGTGTATGAAGAAGAATCGGGTTATCGTTCGGGATGAATATCATTATTTAAACAAATATTGGTCAATGGCAATAAGATGTCAGCGATAATTAATTTATGCTAAGCCAATGATTTGCAAGTAACCGAACTCCTTTAAAAAAAGCAGTCCATCATCATTCAACCATTTAATAGAGAGATAAATCTAGTGAACATATTAGATCTCATCTATCGCTATGACCAATGGGGCATGAGGCGAGAATCATCTTGGCCAGAGAAACAAAAATAGACTCGATGACCCTAACTTATTACTAATATCGGTGGGGCATGAGGTAGAATCATGCGTGGCTGTAATACAATAATAAGATCATGGGGCTATCACATCTTTCAACCTATCACTACTTCAACAGTCTCGTGGCGTGAACTATTCATGAAAGCACTCGATATCGGTCAAAGCAAACGATTCGAGGCATAGCGCTTGATTAAGGTCATGCCCTCTTAGGAGGAACAGATCTACCAAATAACGATCCCCACTCCACGGTGCTAATAGTGGGGTGTGTGAGAATCACATGAGCCATGATAACAGGCCATGAAAGCGGTTTTCGCTAGCCAATAGATCTACTCAAAATCGAGACACGCCTTAACATACGCTATACACGATCAAGATTATATAAAAGCTGGCGATAAAACATAACTCATCGTTTAAAGTATAGATTGGATCGGTTTAGATTAACAAGCGATGGGTTAAACAAGATATAAAGGCGGATGTAGATCAATCCCAATCGAGGCGTGATGATTTCTTTGTAATTAAATAAATAATGGAAGCAATAAGCAATATCGGTAACTTAATGAATATATCCGAAGAACGTCACCCTTAGATAGAGCGATAACTTGACCTTAATCTAGTTCGAAGCGGTGGAGGTTAAATCGGATCGATGCTTGACCATACTTGAACTAGACAAGAGTCGATAACTAACTTATACCGAGAATCGCGGTGGAGGTCGAACCGGATTAATGCTTGCATTTACGA